CGTGATTAGAATCACAGACACGTGTAGCGACGTGGTTAGAATCACAGACACGTGTAGCGACGTGGTTAGAATCAAACACGTATAGCGACGTGGTTAGAATCACAGACACACGTGTAGCGGCGTGGTTAGAATCACAGACACGTGTAGCGACGTGGTTAGAATCACAGACACGTGTAGCGACGTGGTTAGAATCACAGACACGTGTAGCGACGTGGTTAGAATCACAGACACGTGTAGCAACGTGATTAGAATCACAGACACGTGTAGCGACGTGGTTAGAATCACAGACACGTGTAGCAACGTGGTTAGACACCTCCGCCCGCACACACGAAAACAAGCGCGCGCACGTGCACACACACACACACGTACGCACGCACGCAAGCACGCACGTACGCTCGCATGCAGGTATGCATGCACGCACGCACGCACGATAATTTGTAAAGTGACAATGCGATACCGATTTTTCTTATCGCTCGTGAATATGTACTTTTTTATATATAGTTTCAACAATATATTTTTGCAGATAAATACTGAGCAAGCACGAATGCAGATAGTATCAAGAGCGTATAAAGAAGGAATTCTTTATACGCTCTTGATAGTATTTAAGGTTTGGGGAAATAGATTACATGTCGGATATGATTACCCTGCAGTGATAAGTTTATTCTATTATTTATCACTATAATTTAATTTTAGACCTATTTACACTTATTAGGTAGACTTCTATATTTATTTTGCAAGCTGGTGACTTGTTTCTATTCAATGTTACGGCCTGGAGAGTGGGTCTTCAGAGCCACCCAACGGTGAGTTAGCACACTTATTATGATATACAAACTGTGTTATTAATCTTATTTGTTGTAGCAAAATATTGTTTATAATAATAATTATTATTATTATTATTATTATCTACTCACAATAACCAGTCCACGGCCACGATAAGGCTGACGTCCTGTGTAGGTAGTCCTACGGCGGTCAGTACCAGCAGCATGGTGACCAGTCCAGCGCTAGGAATGCTGGCGGCGCCAATAGAAGCTGCAGTAGCCGTCAGACTGTGAAGAAGGTAATTCATGATTATTAATATATCGATTTGGAATATAGATGAATAGAAACAGAGATAGATACTAATTCCTTAAAATGATTGATGCTACTGTTATTATCTCTATTTAGACAAGATCATATTGAAACTAAGAAAACGCGTGTTTTAATAAGTTGTTAAATAGATTCAGATAAGCTCGCTGGCTACAAAAATAACTCTGAATAAGAGGCTCTAGAAACTCTGTCTAATCACCTGACAGTGATTATTTCGCCAATCGACAGATTGACTCCATTCATCTGTGCAATAAAGATGGCCGCCACGGCTTCGTAGAGAGCGGTACCATCCATGTTCACGGTGGCCCCAATGGGCAGCACGAAACGTGTCACACGTTTATCCACGTGGTTGTTCTCTTCGAGACAGCGAAATGTGATCGGCAGAGTTGCAGAACTGCAAGCAGATAGGTGGCAGCACCGTGACTAGTCGTCCGATAATGCAGCCACGGAGTAATTACCCACCAGTATTCCCGCAATTCATACCCGATATCATTACGGACAGCTCTCTTACCTTGATGCCGTACCCAGGGCCGTGATCCAGGCCTGCAGCATGCCCTTGCAGAAGGACAGCGGGTTGTTTCGCGTGATGAGGAAAAACAGCAGCGGAAGCACGATCAGAGCGTGAATCATCAGACCGGAAATGACCGTGACCATATAAAGTCCCAGCTGCTTGGCAGTCTCCGCCATGCTCTCGATCTCCAAGATCTTTCCGGCAATCAGAAACATGATACCGAACGGCGAATACCTGAAGCAGAACAAGAATCATCGTATCGTCGCTGTTTCGATGATGTTCTATAACACCTGACATCACCCTGTGATATAGTTTAGTACAATAGCTAATGGCCATGAATCAGGCGAATTGTGCACTTCTGTGATAGTTGCCATCTCCTTCCTCGCGTGATCACAAACTGTATCACACCGACCACAATCGGCAACCAGCACTGACACGTTAAGCCTGTCGTCATATTGAAATATTGACGCTATCGAAACCATGTATTATCTCTGCTCCAGACTGCTGATATGTTAAAGTGAAAATGATCCCCTGTCCTCCGAAGGGGTTTGTCACCGATAGCATCGTAAACATTATCATTTTTACTAACGTCAAGGCTTACTCACCAGTAAATATATGACACATGCACATAAATCTCAATAATATAATAAAAATATTAATTGATAACTACAATTTACGTACTATTTACTATTTTGTATCGTTCTTTCTCCAAACGGAGTGCGCGTGTTTTCTTCAAAATGTCTCCATTGCGTACGTTTATGGAGCTTATATAATATTCTCGATGCGTGATAAAAAAGAGCGATTGCGATCACATTGCATGCGGGCACGTACCACATGATGAGGATCACTATGCGCATGACGACGTCGTTGAGGATCGTGAAGAAACGCGCCATCAGCTGCGCCTCCTCCTGCATCGAGCTGATGGTGATGCCGAACGCCGTGCAGAATACGATCAACCCTGTACACACGTACACAAGAACATAAGAAGATCAACTCTGTACGCACGTACACAAGAACAGAATACGATAAACCCCGTGCACACGTACACATGAACAGAATACGATCATCCCTGTACACACGTACACAAGAACAGAATACGATCAACCCCGTGCACACGTACACATGAACAGAATACGATCAACCCTGTACACACGTACACAAGAACAGAAGAAGATCATTCCCTGTACACAGTTCCGAGCAGTATCCCGACACAGTTAACAACGAAGACGATCAACCCTGCTACATACGATATACCAAGCAACAGAGACGATCAACCCTGTAAACCGCTACACAAAAAGCAGGAAGACGAATCACCCTAGTACACACGTACACATCGACAGAATACGACTCAACCCGTGCACACGTACACATTGAACAGAATTACCGGATCAACCCTGTACACACGCGGACAGCAAAACAGAAGAAGATCCGCTGTATCATACGCTAGTAGGCAAGAACACGAAGACGATCAACCGCTGTACTATACGTCCAGCAAGAACAGGAGACGATCAACTCTGTAAACACGTACACAAGACAGAACGACGTATCAAACCCTGTACACACGTATACGAAGAGCAGAAAGACGATCAACCCTTGTATACACTACACAAGAGCAGAAGACTACACCGCTGTTACACACGTACTCAAGGAGACAGAAGACGATTGCGACCCTGGTAACACGGGTACACAAGAAACGAAGACGATTAAACCCGTACACACGTATACAAGAGGCGGGAAGACGATCAACCTGTACACACAACGTATACAAGAGCGGAAGACGATCAACCCTTGACAACCACAGGTACTGCACGACAGAAGACGATCACCCTGTAAATAGTACACAATGAACAGAAGACGATCACGGCGGGCTGGTACAACACGTGATACCAAGAAACACAGAAAGCATCAACCTGCGTACACACGTATACAAGAGCGGAAGACGATCACCCTGTAACACGTATACAAGAACAGAAAGACGATCAACCGCTGTAGCACACGTAATACAGAGCGGAAGACGATTCAACCCGTACAGCACGCCGTAACAGAAGAAGAAGGACGATCAACTCTGTACACATGTACACACAAGAACAGAAGTACGATCAAACCTTGTACGACAGGCTACACAATGAAACAGAAGACGACTAAACCTGTACACACGTACACCAGAACATGACGATCAACCGCCTTGTACACACGATACCACACAGAACAGGAAGGCACCGATATCACCCTGTATCACACGTGACGCACGCAACAGAAGACGATCGAACCTGTAGAAACGTACACAAAACAGAAGAAGATCACCTGTAACCACACGTATACAGAGATACAGAAGACGATCAACCCGTTACACACGTATATACAAGAAACAGAAGACGGAATCAAAAGCCCTGTACACCACGTATACAAGAGCGGAAGACGATCAACCCTGTACACACGTACGCACGAACCACGAAGACGATGCAACCCTGTAAACACGGTATACAAGAACAGAAGACGATCAACCCTGTACACACGCTTACAAGAAGAGGACGATACAACCCGTGTACACACGTTATACAAGAGCGGAAAGACGATCAACACCTCGTACACACGTCACACAAGAACAGAAAGACGATCAACTCTTACACATTACACAACGAACCAGAAGCTACGATCAAACCTTGTACACGCGTACACAAGAACAGAAGACGATCAACCCGCGTACACACGCGTACACCAAGAACAGACGATCAACACCTTACACACGTACAACAGAGAACAGAAGACTATGCAACCGCCCTATACACACGTACACAAGAAACAACACAACTGTCGTCTACAACGATCGTCTCACATACGAAAACGCCATCTACATCCGTCACACATTACAACATGTTTAAAGCCTGTAATGAGTATATAATATGGTAAAATATTCTGTTTAGTGTTTTTATTGAAAAATTCACATAGTTGGGTTCGCATAGGCTGAAAAGGTTTTAGCGTGGAACTGCGGAAATTTTTTCGGCAGAATATGTAGGAATGATGTATGCATCGCATACGTACAACGCGCGAGCCGGTCCTGCGGCCGAACACCTATACATACGTACTGTGTATGACCACGTACATACGCTCATATAATAATACGTAAAGTGTCGCAGTTTACGGTGCTCTTAAAAGCGCCGAGAGAGGGTTTAACGCGTCGAATAGAGAGCGACGAAATGTTAATATAGTACACTATGCATCAATATTTATTACGCAAGTAGTACGCACAGGCGTGTGTGCTTAATTTTTAAGATCATTACGGGGTATTGATTAGCAGCTTGGTTGCGTTACTAGACACATTACTGGACACACGAGTGTACGCTTCACTCATTAATACTTTCCTAACGATATTCGCATGTTGAGCCATACATACGTACATACGTTTGTGTATGACACGTACATACGTATATAATAATACGTACAGTATCGGCAGGTTACGTGCTCTCTTAAAAGCGGCGAGAGAGTTTAACGCGCTGCGAGATAGAAGAGCGACGAAATGTTAATGAGTCGCTTACAGCTATTGCGGACAATGATTTCATTACACAAGTATAGCCACAGGGTGTGTTGCTTAATTTTAAGATCATTAAGCGGGGTTATGTGACTAGCCAGCTTGTTGCGTTACTGACACATTACTTGACGCACGAGTGTACGCTTCACTCATTAATACTTTCCTAACGATATTCGCATGTGGAGCAAATTGTACGATGTGCATTTGTAAGAATTTAATGTTTTGCACAATTTTGTTGCTTATTGTTTCATTCGTCGACCACACGTAATGAATACTGATGTCTGTGTTCAACTGAGCTCTGCTACGTTTCATATAACAAAAATTATAATCGGCAGTGACAACGCACGCCGTCATTGTCAACGTACACTCTTGTGCCGGCAATGCACACCGTCATGGTCAGCGTACATTGCCAGAGTTCCTGAGACATGTGCATTAATGTGTGATAATAATACGTGTCGGCTTGCCGCTCATGACGCGAGGGATTCACAATACCCGCACCTTGACGTGGCGAAATGTTACAGCTTCAATACATTTTCTGTCTTTTCCGGTCTTTTTAACGTTAACGGGGTGGCGCAGCGAGCAAGCATCGATTACTTTGTTTCACCTCCGGTGATCAAGAGAGTATGATATGTGCGACGAAATCAAATTCGTTTCTTGTCTTAGGACGAGCAAACATTCTGACACGCCCCTAGCCATAACCGCCAAAATCCGTACTCAAAACCATTATATTGAACGCTTTTCATGCCATTCTAGAGAAAAATAATTCATGAAATAATGCCAGTTGATAAAATCTTACGATTGATGATAACTTTAACATTGTAGCACAGCAGCATTAGAGGCATTAATATCCATAACACTTAAGCTCGTGTTGTAGGAGGTGCCACTACGACTTACCGAGATGTTCGCGCCGCCCTTGAGTCAAATTCTCGCACCAGAATCACTTCCCTCTACAAGCTTTTGTCGCGATAGTTGTTAGGCTTAACGAGACCCGCGCTACAGTAGTCGCGTTGGTTCAGGTTTGCTGCAATCACTTGTTTGATGAACTTTGGCTTCACTGTCTTGTTGACATACGTCGTCTGCGTGCTTTGAAAGCTGCCGTTACCAGAGATTTTCTGGAAGCATGTTCCTGCGCAGACAGAACAAGAATTTCACTTAGTTCGTGAATGAAACGATAATGAAAATAATTAATTAAAAAAACGTCGAATAGTTTCCGAAGAACTATTGAGGCATCGAAAGTAATACAACCTATCAAAATTCAGTGTAATAAATAAGTGCTTCTAAAAATTACTTTCCTCTCGACTGCTATTTAATAGTGTATCACTTAATTGTAATTTTAATATAATAATAATAGTTATAATTAATATCCAATGTCAGAGGTGTATATAATCATTATATATATATATATATATATATATATATATATATATAATCTTTATGCTAGTGAGATGCGTGTGGACTGACTACCTGATGAGGTCGAGGAATGCATCGACGGCCGACACCTTCTTGGCCTCGGTACCCTCGCCGATGTTGCGTTTGATGTTGACGTTACCTGGGTGGATACTGCACACCATGATGATGCCGATGATGACGGCAATCACCGTCGTCGTCAGGTAGTAGAGCAGCGCTCGCGATCCCATCCTGCCGGACGAGCGAGCGTCCAACTGTGCGAGACCTGCATAGCCGAATAGACGCGAATGCCTTACATCACCGTGCTCGACGTGCTCGATCAGTAATAGTAAGCGAGTAGTAGGCTGCTACAAAAACTACTAATACTAGCAGCTATTAATACGCCGCGGGCTGGTTGGTTTGGAATCAAAACAACGCGACGCACGCTCGTACATACGCACGCACACACATATTCATATGTCGTTTATATGGCATTTTATAAGCCGTTTATTAATGAACCGTCTCAATAATCAACCATATTATTATTAACGAATACGTTTACACGGTGTGTAATTAAGTCGACTCGATGCGGCGCGATGCGGCTCGATTACAACTCGCAGTCGCTTATGCGCATGCGTTAGTTGTTGTTGTTGTTGTTGTTGTTGTTGCTGTCGTCGTCGTTGTTGTTATTATCATTAAAGACGACGGGTGGTTATATTTTCTTGTTTAGGCTACTGCGGCTAATTCGAGAAAATATATATAGAGAGAGAGAGAGAGAGAGAGAGAACGCCAGCAAAAAGTTGAACGAATGCAAATACAACGTTAAACGAATCCAGCGTTTTTATTCCATTCAACGGCAGCAGCGAATGAATTTCGTGATGTTACTATTAGCACGCGTGAATAGACAGCGAAACGCTCGTCCAGGACAAATATGGATCAACGATCACAATGGAAGGCAATTTTTGGAGCATACAGTTAGCTGATACGTACACTATAATAACCCAGTAAGCGGGTGCGCTGTGGAACAAACCGGCTTCAGATAGGAATGGTCGTTTACACGGCAAAATCAACCTGTCATGTATTTTTAAACCGGCTCGAAACCACTTCATCTAGCTGGCTAGAAATGAACTGGCTTGAGCATTATTGTCCCGTTTACACGGGGAAATAATAAGACGGTTCTTTAATAAGCCGTCTCAAACCGAGACTTCAAAAACGGAGATTTAGTATATAATCGAATTTGGTGTAGCTAACACGAAACCCCATTTATCCGTCTTTTTTCCGGCTTCACTCCAATTCGGTCATACTCATATTATAGTGATTAATAACATAAAATTTGTCACATTATACTCTTATTGATCGTTGGACGGAGCAGGAATAGTGGGAAACGCTTCAATGCATAATTTTATATATTTTATTTTATTGATGAAAAGAATAAGCGACGGCACAATATATAAGACAAGGCGCATATTCAATTATTATTTATAAATTCTATTTTTATAATAAATTCTGAATAGTCCAAGTATTCATGATTGCATTTATTATTAATAAAATGGCAAATTTATCAAAATTATCGTATCTTTTTATCCGTTATTTATTTTTGTTTAGAAGAGTATATAGGAGGTGATATCCATTAATAAAGTTGTGTTTATTTGCTGCTGTGTTGCTTTTTGTCACACATTTCTGGAAGATATGTCCGCCTCTAATTTATCGCGCATCGCACCTGAGATAAGAGAGGAAATGATGAGCGGAAGTATCATCATCTTCAGCATGCGCATCAGAATGTCACCAGGAAACGACAGCAGCATGATCGCCTCCGCACTTGGCTCTGCGAAGCGCAGCAGCGATCCCAGCAGGACGCCGAGCACAACGCCCCCTATCGTCATCATGAGCAATAGGTTGTCGCGTTGCCATTTTGCACATGCAGCGCAGCAGCCTTTTACCTGAAAATGGTACAGAGGCGAGTCTTAGCTTACCAACACGATTAGCTTCAATATGTATATAATAATGTAGGATATACAGTCATGATCTAATCAAATTGTTGAAAATAAATAATTGGTGACAATAATACTTGCTGCATTATTAAAGCGTTGATTACAAAGTGTAAAAAATACATGTTTGACGCGCTACTCGGCTAGAGAGCTCAGCTAGCTCTCTAGTACGAGAGATAATTATTTCCGACCAAATCGGAAAGAGGACGGGATTTTAAAAGCAGCCAGATCCGCATTCTTGAGCTTAGCTTCTGCTTCTATTTATCAGAATTCTCACATGAAATAATCTCGTCGTGGGAGCGCCATGACGACGCACTATGAATGCTATATTCTACAGAATGTGATAATGCCATCGTGTATATTGTCTCTCTGGTATATGCGTGGCAGATGGACTGTGCGTGTACTCGTGTGATAGCGATGAGCTGACAGCAGGAATTATATGGTGTATTCACGCGCATAAATATCGCTCCCTTATTTAGGGATGATCGCATTAAATGATGTAGTGCGTGCCGGAAAAGTAGCTATGATTGACTTCCTGTCGGTTCTGTCGGGATACCGACGGTACGTGTTCTGTTCCTGCTATTTTTGTCTCTGATTACGGTATGACAACATTGCCCTTTTTGTATGTCAGCGAAACTTAGACCGTTATTATTAGTAATGTAATTTTACGTTTTCTTTCAAACACCAGGTTAAAAAATTGACGTTGTCATCTGGTATAGATATCAAATATAGCATAGAAGTCAAAGTTTTTGATTTAATTTGCCCATTGCTTTTCTTGGGTAATACGTTTCAAATTCGAACAGCCAGTGCGACCTAGACGATCCCCATATCATTTTACGGCAACAGTCTGTTCAGGTTTTACGTGGGGCCGTCGAATATAGCAAACGTGTCACGATGATTGTGACGCGTCGCAATGCCGCTTTACAACGAAAAAATAATGTACTTTTTTCGTGTTATTTTATGCTCAGGTGCTTTCGAAAACCACAAATAACAATGCTTATGTATGCTGTTTGATGCACGTAATAGAGCAGCATGAAAAGAGTTCAGCATCGGTGAAAGACACGCATGCAGTCTTCACAGCGCAGCATTGTGCATCGTAGCAGCCGTAGATAGGCGCACAATGTAAGCTACTCTACCGTACAAGTCATCTAACAGTACCCTGGCGTGAACGGGCGCCGTGTAGCGAATCTCATTGGCTCCAGCCTTAAATTCCTCCATCGCGGACTGACACCAACTGCAAGAAGAAAGAAAACACACTTTATTTTCCCAGTTAGTAATTTTCGTTACGCGTAGGAAGTGCGCCGCATAGCTGTCGCAGGTTATTTATTAAGAACATTATTTATTTACGATTATTTGCCTTGCTAGGATTCTATGGTAAATCACACGCTTTAAAAAAAACAAAGGATTGCAGAAACCTCTTGCTTTAATATACATTTCAGGTCATAACGGAACTTATTATTACAGAGTCAACAGTTTCATGGAGGTTGAACCTTAAAAACTGGAGTTTTATGGCTCGCATATAGATATGGCTAATTGAGGTAAGTATGACGTTTTATGATTGTGCATTCCAATCATAATTTATAATTGAGATAAACATAGAGGCAGCACACAGCTGATAAAAGGGGCCTACGCGTATCGCGTTACTCGATGCTCTATGTACCTAAATAGTAAAGCGGGATATATTAAAATAAAAAGGTCTGAAAATGTTTCTGCGGGCCTGAAGATATAATGGTCGCGTACATAAACGAAGTGAGTGTCGCCCAGGTGTCTGTTAGATATTGGGCACACAATGAATGATGTACACACAAATATACCTGTGTATTCGCATACAAGGCACCATAGTACAAAACGCGCGCGTTTTCTGCAAACAATTTCGTAATTTCTGTCCAAATATACAGCGAACTCGGGCGATGTGCCTTTATCTGTCACTTTCAATGCTATCGTCGTTGCTGATAGCAAACACGGCCTAAAAGGTTTCAACCTAATTGGTATGAAAAGACAATGAGGGCGCGAGACGGAAAATTCAATCATGCAATACGCAGACAACATCACGCACCTCACTAAAATTATTTGCCTGGATGGCGGTAATCGTCCATATACTGCCAACTCTACGACTACAAGGCAGTTTCAAAACTTCTACGAGAAAATAAATGTGGCGGGAGTGACACGAATTCATTTTCTGCGGGGAGAAGCGTCAGGTTAGCGCTGTATTATGTCTGGCGAGGTGTTGCAGATTATTGGACCCTGGATGAAACGATTATCACGCGGCGGGGAATCAACATGGAATACCGACGCTGCAATTTGCGACACGTATAGATGACGATTCGTATACAGACCTAGTTCAATTACATGTACGAACGATATTCAAGCTGATTACATGGACATGTTTACGTATAGCGATGAGCTTCATGGCTTGAATATTGAATTATTATTGTTATTTTACATTATTAAACTTTCTGCGATCTGCATAATCGAAGAAATGGTAATTGCTAAATTAAGGAAGATCGTTAAGGCTCGCAAAGCAGACAATACAAAAATAAATAATAAAGAATGATAAAAAAGACACTACACGCCATATAGACAATACATAGATGACGCGCACACTACACACCACACACGAACGATAACGCGCGAAAACTGTCAATACATTGTGCACATCTATACACAAAAGATTAAATCGTATCGGCAGGTCTTCAAATGTAGTTCCATAAAACCATATAGAGGCAATGCTCGAGGGCGCAACCACGTTAACATTGGCGATGCGGACTGTGTGAGAACCTCGTGAGCGTCAAGGCTTCATTTGTGTTATGCATATGTGCACCTCCATATAACACGTAGCACGTTTTTATAATAAAAAAACATGCATGGCGGCACTTCGCGCTACTTTCGTAATGAAAAGTTATTTTTATTCAAAGTTTTTTTTCGGCATAAAGGATTTTTAAAATTTAACCGTAAAAATCATCTTTCATGCAATATGGAGACGTAGGATTCTCCTATCAAATAGCTGAGCTGAACATCGTCACTCACATGCCCACCAATATGGTAATTTTAGGTATGCATGGTATGTTCATTGACGGTATTTCCAAAAGGTGTGTACCAAAATGTTTATAATACGTAGGAGAAAACAATATAAAGAAACATACCGGATAGCAAAGAAAAAGTTACAGTAAGTATAATGTAGATTAGTCCTAACTGACACTAACGAGGTTATTTGTGCATTTTAGGGTATTGTACCATTCATTAAAATATCCTAGAAACCCCCTTGTAGTTCAAGTGCGCAAATAACCTTAAACAGAAAATATCAGTGAAAAATACGTAGTGTCTGGAGTCAACAGTAGCGCCCTTATAGAGGAGTCCTTGGCAGGTTCTAGAAAATTACCATCGATCTCAATTTTCAACATATTACATGCCAGGTTTAGGGGCATCCTATATGTCAGTTCTCTTATATGCCGGAAGATATGATATCACCCCCAACCCAACGGCGTTCATGTTTAATTACAGTGATGTATATAAATATATCACGAGTGAAGCGCCACCGAATCAAGATCTTGGAGAAAATCGTCTAATTTTATAGTGCAATACGTGAAACAAATTGTATAAAATTAATGTTAAAATCAATTTCTCTTCAATTCTATAAGATTGAACCGTACACGCGCAGCGTGTCTCGCAGTAATGCGTCCGGTGCATTACATTCTATTTTAAACGCGACTTTGCCAAAACAGAATTGCATTATTCGTTGATTGTTTTGCGCAGTGACATTTCCCGCAATGTTGCTTGTCAGGGCCCTTTAAACGTCACGTTACAAATTGATTCAGTGCGCAAAGTTATATCAATATGGTGGCGGCTTTATTAGATTTTAGGAGGCAATCGAGTTTCATGTCACGGTAAGATTCACGTAGTACGTAAAGCTGGAGATGATGAACAAATACGTCGCATCGTACAGGTCAGTATAGCGAGTTGTACACGTCTCTCCACTCCGTCTCTTCCTCTTTCGGTCACTCTTCCTTTCTTTCGATCTCCCTCTTTTTTCCCTCTCTCCCTCTTTCTCAGTTACTCTCCTTCTCTTTCACGCTGGGTTTCTCTCTTTTTCTTCGGGCGTATAGTTGCTCTGGAGACCATTGCACCATGGTCTGCCCCTCATATCAGTTCACAGCTGCTCGTTGCTGACGTGTAAATCTTTCAAAAACGTCATTACAGCACCCTACCTCGATTCACTACACCTACAACGCACGGTAGCAAAACAGAAAGAAACAAGAACGAAGTGAGTGCATGAAAAACAAGAGAATTCATTTTTACTTGATGCTAATGCTGATGCGTGCACATTATCACGGCTAACATTCCATAGTGTTTGCGAAGAACCTTGGATTTCATCCAGTATATACGTATTTAAAGCATCATAGACGATGAATGGATTTCGCTTAGAACGCTCTGAATCTCACCATTGATAGACACAACTTTCACGGGATTCCCTCTATGAATTGCATGCACAATTCATAATGTGAATCAACAATTAATGTAGTTGCTGCTACGCTTGGCAGCAACATGAGGCAAGGGAAGGCGACGTTGAAAACATGGCTATAAACGCGATATATATGTATATATATATATATATATATATATATATATATATAAAGACCACGTTTATGAAGTTATATACACCAACAACGAACGACGACGTGAACGGCGACGACGAGTGACGACGTCGTAACGGCGACGACGAGTGACGACGTCGTAACGGCGACGACGGTGTAGATGACGTTTATGTAGTTGGAGAGTAGGCCTACTGTGCAGCACAGTTTATCGAGCATATGTATATATATATATCAAGAGCTCATAATAGAGATATTATATATATATATATATATATATATATCATTATAATATAATCGTGTGTGTGTGTGTCGTGGCGTGCGTTGTCGTGCGTGCGTGCGTCTGTGCGCTGGTGCGTGCTGTGCGTGCGGCGTGCGGCGTGCGTGCGTGTGCGTGCGTGCGTGCAGGCGTCGGCGTGCGTGCTGGGCGTGCTGTCGCGGTGCGTGCGTGCGGCCGTGTGTGCGCCGCGCGTTGGGTCATGTGTATTGTGTGCGTCCGATCATATCCATATCATGCGCCATAAGGTTATATATGTACAGTTTCAAGCATTGACATCCATCTGTGACGGATGTATCCATATTGCGTCGCAACGCTAAGATAGAAATTTCATATGAATCGTTTGCTTGCTTTTAATGGCGCGAAACAGATATTTTAAGCTGTTGAGCTCATTCAGTAAAAAACAAACCACATTCCGCAGAGCCATTGTTGCAAACAGCTTCGCTGTCAACACACGGCGATGTCTCCGTTTCTTCCACTTTGCAGTAACCGACTTATATATGCGACAGACGACGTCCATCCAACACCACATTCGCGTGTCCCATCCCATCGCCCACATGACGCTCGCCAGCAAGCCGCTGCGCATAACGGAAAAATCTTGGTATGCATCACTGGTCGGTAGCACTGCTCAGGTGACATGCGGCCCTGACAGCAACCGAGAGAGTAAATAGGAAATATTCACATGCAATTTTGCGAGCAAATGACCCGGCAAAGGTAATAGGAATAAATGGTAGAGCCGGCATTAATAAGTACGGCATCGAACGGATATTCGCGACGCCGAATGAACCAACGATTACCTGTTTTATGTGCAATGCACAATCAAACGTGCCAAAGTCCATAATCCTCCGACGTTATTACGACTTCAAAGTCGCCTTGCAGTCATCTTGTCTTTTGTGCATCAGACCGCAAAGCAGCACACGTGAACTAACTGAACGTTCATCAGCAAAATATAGACAAATCTAAGAAATTTATTTGACAGCATCACACACGAACATGAAAGACCTCATCGAGGTAGACGATAAGTCCTTACCTCAAGGGCATTCAACTAAGAGGGCTGTGATGCTTCTTTAAAAAAATGCATGCGTGGAGCGTGTGCATGCAGTCACACACCGTCGACCGTGTTCCCGTGAACACGCGAATGCTCTTAGCCTGGAATAAGATTTTTCCACCGAGAATAGACGATGCTGAGATGACATGTAAAATGAAACGTCGAAAGTTTGTAACAACACGGCTATTAGGCCAGTCCCGAGTTGCCTGCAAATACAAGTATTTGGTTTGATAACCCCAAGGCACCCGTTTAATCGTATTCCCCAATTCCAACGAATATTGGTCCCCCGCAAAACCGAGAATCCGTTCAATTGCAATCAG